ACACACAACAAAAGTACATCACAGTTGTCTACGGTAGGATCTAGAGCCTCTGATTGGTGGAGGAGGTATGGTGACGTTATCTCCAATGGTACTTGATTGGTTGAACGTCTTATATAATAAGTTCTTGGATTCTTATTGGTTATACAATCTGTTGACGTCATTTCCCATGATGGAACCTGTTACTTGATTCGCTCAATGTCGCCTAGGGTAGGGTATAGGACCTCTGATTAGTGGGGAGGTGAGATCACGCCATCTCCAATGATAAAACACATGATAAAATTATGGCCTCTGATTGGTCACGTCATCTCCAAGGATGCAGAATGCTACATGATTGGCTCAACGTCATCCAGATACAGAGTCTTGAGTACTGATTGGTGGAGGTCTTGCACCTATTGTAGGAAGACTCTCACAATAACAATAGTAGTAGTAATAACGAGAAAAGTATAATAACAATGGTAATACTAGTGATAATAATAATAACAAAAGAGCATCACTATAGTATAAACAAAAGCTGTAAATACATTAAGCCACAAGTTTTATCACCTGCACTTTTTATACGAGTGTGGCCGCCTTTAATGACTCAATAAAACCTCTCGACTGTGGGAGGCCTAAAGAGATCCTTCCCATCTAGTATGACACACTGACGATGATCCAATGAGAGTGGGGCAGTGACTAGAGAAGGAGGTGAAAAAGGAGAAGGAGGGTAAAAAAAAAACCCTAACCTAACCCTTATTAATATCTATGTTAAGTCCTCCGTTATCCTCTAATACAGGGCTTAAGACTTTGTGGTTACTCTGTGGTTAATGTCTATGTGTGGTTAACTGACACGGGTGCAAGTGGACGTAAAGGGGCAAGCTGGGTCATGGTACAGTGGCATGCCAACACCATGATATAATGGTCGTCTGACATGCTAGGTCACCACCTCTTTCCCTACCGTGCGTCTGGTGTTAAATGCTATTTAGTTATCTACCTCATTATGACACATCTGACCTCTCCTGACCTGGTAATTATGACACATATGACCAATATGATACATTTGACCTGTCTCTTGTTGTCACTACCTATACCTGACCTGACCTCCTGATCTGACCTCATCTCACCTGCCATTATGACACACCTGACCTATCTCTTGTTGTCACTACCTATACCTGACCTGCCATTATGACACACCTGACCTATCTCTTGTTGTCACTACCTATACCTGACCTGACCTGCCATTATGACACACCTGACCTATCTCTTGTTGTCACTACCTATACCTGACCTGCCATTATGACACACCTGACCTATCTCTTGTTGTCACTACCTATACCTGACCTGTCTCTTGTTGTCACTACCTATACCTGACCTGACCTGCCATTATGACACACCTGACCTATCTCTTGTTGTCACTACCTATACCAGACCTGTCTCTTGTTGTCACTACCTATACCTATACCTGACCTGCCATTATGACACATCTGACCCACAACACACCTGACCCACTACACACCTGAAGCTCCCTTGTTTGAGCCTTAACCTGTCTATTTTTTTCACCTCTAGACAAAGTGGGGAACAAGATGAGGAATCTACGTGGGTTCGTTGGCATGGTTAAGAAGGTACTGAGACGTGTGTGTGTGTGTGTGTGTGTGTGTGTGTGTGTGTGTGTGTGTGTGTGTGTCATCCTGCCAGGGAGTGGATGGAATGGACTTTAAATGCAACCACCGCCCGCTGCTATTGCTGCTATTAAAACAAACCATCGCTATTTTACTCTCAGTTTGCTTCCTCCAGGGATGGCTTAAACCACTATTGTGTCTTCTTTATAAACCAGTAGATTAAACCACCACCCGATAAACCTTAAATAAACCTCTTTAATGTCATTCACCATTCACTGTGACCAATAAACGTTCCCTCTTCCTCCTCTCTCTGGAAATTTTCTATCAGTCAGTCAGTCAGTTATTAAGATTGGCATATATAGAGCTGTATGGTGCAGCTAAGGGGATATAGCTGTTGGTGTGGGTAAGTTTGTGGCCACAGTGTTGGTGAAGTGTGTGTGTGTGTGTGTTTGTGTGGCGTGACAATGACCTTCCGGTGTTGGACTGTTGTTGTTGTTGTTGTTGGTCATCATTTCACCTCAAGGACTAATTAATCCCCTGGCCTGAACCCGGAAGCTAAGCTAACCTAACCTAACCATAACCTAACCTAACCTAACCTAATTTGTAAATAATCTAACCTAACCATAACCTAACTTATACATAATCTAACATAGGTTAACTTACACGTAACCTAACCTAACCTAATCCCCCCCCCAAGCAGTATAACTTAAACCTCCCTTAAAACCACCATTACTACCACCACTTCTTCTTCCTCCTCCTCTTCCCCCTCTTCCTCCTCTTTCCCCTCTTTCCCCTCTTCTTCCTCTTCTTCCTCTTCCTCCACCCCCTCCCCCTCCCCCTTCCCCCACCATTAACGTCACAGCCGCCACCACAGAACAAAGGAATACACCTTAATTATTTTTGCACACCCCCTCCCTACGCCTCCCACGCTCCTCCCTCCCTACGCTCCCCTCCCCCACGCCTCCCCCCACGCCCCCCACGCCTCCTCCCTATAGCAAGACGCCCTAATATCGATCCTATTGTTGCCTTCCTTATGCACAACTCTTATACTCCACTCCCTCAGTAAGACCTCTCACTCCCTCTCACTCACCTCTCAGTCCCTCTCACTCACCTCTCAGTCCCTCTCACTCACCTCTCAGTCCCTCTCACTCACACCCCTACACCTTCCCACTCCCTTCACCCCCCACTCACCAACCTAACACAAGTACGAGGAAGAGCATGATAGTGTTAGCGTGATAGCATGAGACAATTACCATGACGGAGGAGAGAGAGAGAGAGAGAGAGAGAGAGAGAGAGAGAGAGAGTTGACCAGTCTGGCTTTATTTGTCACTATCTTATATCACGCCACAGTCATCATCATCATCTTCGTCATCATCATCACTACACCATCATCTTCGCTATACCGATTAGAATGAGTAATAGTGAATGTATCATGTGTCTTTGCATCATATATACAGGTGACACATACAGGTGACACATACAGGTGACACATACAGGTGACACATACAGGTGACACACACAGGTGACACACACAGGTGACACATACAGGTGACACACACACAGGTGACACATACAGGTGACACATACAGGTGACACATACAGGTGACACATACAGGTGACACACACAGGTGACACATACAGGTGACACATACAGGTGACACATACAGGTGACACACACAGGTGACACACACAGGTGACACATACAGGTGATACTGGAAGGTCATTAGTCTACGTCACACTCAGCCTGATAACTACAATTTGGTGTTGACTGACAATTTTATTTTTTATTTTTTATTTTTTTCGTATTTTTGCTGACACATTTCTCGCTCTGCATTGTATCATATTATTGCTGACTGCTTTGTGTATGTTTGTTATAATACTTATTTTTTGGTGTATATTTTTTGGGGGAGCCTTATTTATTTTTTGGTGGAGCCTTATTTATTTTTGGGGGGAGCCTTATTTATTTTTGGGGGGAGCCTTATTTATTTTTTGGGGGAGCCTTATTTATTTTTTGGGGGAGCCTTATTTATTTTTTTGGTGGAGCCTTATTTATATAATGTTTTGTATCCTATATAATGTGTTGCTGTGCACGGTGATATGTTTGGGAATTAGTTTTAGAGATATATATTGAGCATTGCTGTGCATAGTGAGGTGTTTATTGAGCATTGCTGTGCATAGTGAGGTGTTTATTGAGCATTATTGTGCATAGTGATGTTAACTGAGCATTATTGTGCATAGTGACTGTTTATTGAGCATTGCTGTGCATAGTGAGGTGTTTATTGAGCATTGCTGTGCATAGTGAGGTGTTTATTGAGCATTATTGTGCATAGTGATGTTAACTGAGCATTATTGTGCATAGTGACTGTTTATTGAGCATTCCAACGCCTAGTGACGTGTTAACTACGCATTCCTACGCACAGTGACGCTCTCTTGTCTTTTATAATAAATAGCCTTTGTGTTTACATTCCTTTATTATGGTAACTAATAACAGTGTTGTAGCCTAAGCGAGCCCTGTAAACCATGTTGGCTCGTGTGGCTCCTAAGCTCCGCCTCAGACGCCGTGGAGAGCTGGAGGAGGAGGAGGGGAGGGAGGTAAGGCCCTACACAGCCGAGGAGGAGATGGAGGTGGAGGGGGAAGGAGGGGAGAAGACCTGTGTTTATGACCCTCCCCTCTCCCCCTCCTCTAATATCCCTCCACCAGCACCCTCCCCCAACACACCTACACCCTCCAACACCCTCCTACACCTACCTACACTCTCCAACGCCCTCCCCAACACACCTACACCACTTTCGCCACCTCCTCTCCACCCCCAATACACCCCTTCCACCACACCCCCTTCCCACACCACTCCCCCAACATACACCCCACCCCCACATCACCCCTCGACACACACACACACACACACACACACTTTCTAACCCAATATCGCCCGCTATGACTCGGCTTTAATAAGTGACCTTCATATGGCAACATTATTTTTGGTGCCATAATTTGGTCATTAATTAAATTATTATTTTTTTGGCTGTATGTAATTTTTTTTAAACATACTGTATTTTTGTTTTTGCTTCAGCTTGCCGGTTTTTGTGTGAATTTTGTATCAATTTTTTGCTTTATATTTTTTCTTGTATGGAGATAAATTTTACGGGTATAATTTTATGTAGCTGTGATGTTATTTACTAGATCACTAAATTTATTGTATTGTTAACTAAATCTAATGTATTTCTAGTTAAGTTAAATTGTATCTGTAGTTAATCAAATTTAATGCATAGTTAAATCATTCTAACGTATGTCTAGTTAATTAATAAACGTATACATAGTTATCTTATTGATTACATTAATACATAGTTCTGTTAGTTTAGTGAGTTGATTATTATTAATGTTAGTTTGTTATTAATTAGCTAATATATTGCTAGTTGGGATGGTTATTAGTGTAATGCTAGTTGTAGATTGTAGTAAAAGTTGTGGTAGTAGTAGTAGTTTTAGTACTTTTTATAAGGAGTCTTTGTCAAGTAAATATAAACCGAACTTAGAATGGATAAAACTCATTAAGTTAAACCCTTTATTTTTTTTTAGAAGTTAGTTTAAGTCAAGTAGAAATAAACCGAACTTAGAATAGATAAAACCGAGATTAAACCCAACTTGGGATTTTGGGAGCGTGTTTACAATTTTAAAACCTGGTACCCTGTTGTCTAGTATAATGTGACAATAGGTATGGCAATAGGTATGCTGATAGTTAAATATTACACGTTGTAGTAATTGTAGTAGTAGTAGTAGTAGTAGTAGTAGTGGTTGTAGTAGTAGTTGTAATATAGGGGATGATGTAGAGGCAGTGGTTAGGTTAGTTAAGAGACGTGGGGGGGAAGGTCAGGTCAAAGGGGAACTAAACAGTGACCTATAGTTGACCTCTCAGCAGGGGACACGGGAACCAGAGGTAGCTATCAGATTAACCTCTACCAGCGCCAGAATAAACAACCAAATCCGCTATGACTTCACCCTCGGGAGTTACCAACGAGTATATACAGATGACCTACTCCTCGACCTGCTCACTCTCCCTTCAAGGATCATCCATGTTGATCTCCAGGAACAACAACAACAACAGACGGAGCAAGGTGGGTTGGTGGGTGGGTGGGTTGGTGGGTGGGTGGGTTGATGGGTGGGTGGGTTGATGGGTTGGTGTGTGGGTGGGTTGGTGGGTTAGTGTGTTCCTAATCTCCCCTCCTTCTTACAGATCCAAGAGCGGAGGAGGCAGCCAGGATCATGGAAGAGGTGTATCAAGATATGGTCACCAAAGAAGAGTTGGCTAGATTAGATGCCCAACCAAATCCCTTTAACTTCAGCGAGCGAGTGTCCCAAACAACCAGGTTCACACTCAGGGTAAACATACGGTTTCTGTTTACATTGTGGTTTGGTTAGGTTAGGTCAGGTTAGGTCAGGTCAGGTTTGGTCAGGTTAGGTCAGGTCAGGTTTGGTCAGGTTAGGTTAGGTTTCTAGAGCTGTGATGTTTGTTTTCCAATACTATATAGTGTTTGTTTTCATGTCCTGGTGTTTGAACCCTTAAAACAGTATATTTTGGTATCAGAACCCCTTAAACAGCATATCTAGGTATCAGAACCCGTAAAATAGCATATCTAGGTATCAGAACCCCTTAAAATAGCATATCTAGGTATCAGTACCCTTAAAACAGCATATCTAGGTATCAGAACCCCTTAAACAGCATATCTAGGTATCAGAACCCGTAAAATAGCATATCTAGGTATCAGTACCCTTAAAACAGCATATCTAGGTATCAGAACCCCTTAAACAGCATATCTAGGTATCAGAACCCCTTAAACAGCATATCTAGGTATCAGTACCCTTAAAACAGCATATCTAGGTATCAGAACCCCTTAAACAGCATATCTAGGTATCAGAACCCCTTAAAAATAGCACATCTAGGTATCAGTACCCTTAAAACAGCATATCTAGGTATCAGTACCCTTAAAATAACATATTTAGGTATCAGAACCCTTAAACAGCATATCTAGGTATCAGAACATAAAATAGCATATCTAGGTATCCATTTACATAAATAACATATCTAGGTATCAGTACTTCCTTAAAATAGCATATTTAATTAATGAACCCTTAAACAGCATATCTAGGTATCAATTACCCTTAAACATATCTAGGTATCAGAACCCTTAAACAGCATATCTAGGTATTAGACATAAAACAGCATATCTAGGTATCAGAACCCTTAAACAGCATATCTAGGTAATAAGTACCCAGCAAAACAGCATATCTAGGTATCAGAACCCAACAAACAGCATATCTAGGTATCAGAACCCTTAAAATGGCATAATAAGGTATCAGGTGCCATAAAACCAAGCTTTATCTAAATTGTCAGAACCCCATAAGCTTAACATATCTAGGTAATAGAACCCAGCAAACAGCATATCTAGGTATCAGAACCCTTAAATAGCATATCTGTTATCAGAACCCCTTAAAATAGCATATCTAGGTATCAGAACCCCTTAAACAGCATATCTAGGTATCAGAACCCGTAAAATAGCATATCTAGGTATCAGTACCCTTAAAATAGCATATCTAGATATCAGAACCCTTAAAATAGCATATCTAGGTATCAGTACCCTTAAAACAGCATATCTAGGTATCAGAACCCCTTAAACAGCATATCTAGGTATCAGTACCCTTAAAACAGCATATCTAGGTATCAGTACCCTTAAAACAGCATATCTAGGTATCAGAACCCCTTAGAACAGCAGCGGGCGGTTATTTACAGAACCTGGCCATGCAGACAGAGCCTCCTCCCAGCACCGCCTTCACCGTCAACGTAGGTCCTGCCGAAGTGTACGATGCCTACCAGAAGCACTACCTCAAAATCCTGGAGAAAGAGCGCGAGAGAGAGAGGGAGAAAGAAAGGGAAAGGGAGATAGAGAGGGAGAGAGAGAGAGAAAGAGGAAGAGGTAAAGCAAAGAAGGTTAGTTTCGTGTTGGTATTATAATATATTGAAGGGAAAAAAAGGAAAAATTGAAGGGGAAAAAATAAAAAAATTGATATTCTAGTTTATTTCACCTGATGATTTAACACCCTAAGGTTAACTCTTAACCTAACACAATTTAACTTAGCCTTAGTTTAATGTAATACTAACTCGATTGAAATGAACCTAATGCTAACCTAATCTAATCTAACCCATCCCAACCCATTGCATACCAACCCAAATTTTATCCCACCCAACCCAACCCAACCAAATTTCATCGCACCTAACTTCACCCTCACATCACCTAACTTCACCCTAACTTCACCCTCACATCACCTAACTTCACCCTCACATCACCTAACATCACCCTAACCTCACCTAACTTCACAGGCTCCTGCGGCAGTAGCATCAGACCCCCTGGTACTCGCTCAACCGCTGCCCAAGAAGTACTCGAACGGGGCGCCGGACCTGACCAAGCTAAACAACACAGCCAGGGTGGTGGAGCGGATGGTGAACCAGAACACATATGACGACATCTCACAAGGTATTTGGTTAGGTTAGGTTAGGTTAGGTTAAACTAGATTAGGATAGGTACCCATACATCATACAATACACAACTTATACATCACATACACAGAGAAATACACCATACACCATCACTACATAGGAAAATAAACTTTAACTATAAACTGTATTTTTTTTTCTATTTCTCCAGATTTCAAGTATTGGGAGGACGGCAGCGATGAGTTTAGACCGCTTGAAGGATCACTCTTACCACTGTGGAAGTTTAGCCACGAGAGGTCACGTACACTCATAGTATCTGATGTGTGTTGGAGCCCCGTGTATCCCGATCTGTTTTCCGCTGCTTATACCGCTGGTCAGTGAGTGGGGGAGGGGGGGGAGGAGGGGTAGTGTGTCAGCAGGGGGTGTGGGGTGTTTAGTGGGGTAGGGGGAATGGGTGGTGTGTGGGGGTGTGGGGTGTTTGAGTGGGGTAGGGAATGGGTAGTGTGGGGGTGTGGGGTGTTTGAGTGGGGTAGGGAATGGGTAGTGTGTGGGGGTGTGGGGTGTTTGAGTGGGGTAGGGAATGGGTAGTGTGTGGGGGTGTGGGGTGTTTGAGTGGGGTAGGGAATGGGTAGTGTGTGGGGGTGTGGGGTGTTTGAGTGGGGTAGGGAATGGGTAGTGTGTGGGGGTGTGGGGTGTTTGAGTGGGGTAGGGAATGGGTAGAGTGTGTTATGAGAGGTGTGAGTGGGGGTGTGAGAGGTATGTGTGTGAATGGGGGTAGGGGATGGGTAGAATGGGTGTTGTGAGTGGGGTGAGAGGGATATGAGAGGTGTGAGTGGGGTATAAGTGGTATGATTGAGGTGTTATAGGCAGAAGATACATGATATATAAATAAAATATATAGATATAAGGAAGAATAGGATAATATGGTAAAATAGGTAGATGAAAAAGAATGATAAATATAGTAATAAAATAACTGTAGTGTGTTGGATGTGTACAGGTTAGGTTAAGTTAGGTTGACTTACTTTTAGCTTAATCTCAATTGCTCTAACATAACTTAACCTAATGCATATCTAACCTAACTTAACTTCTCATATAACCTAACTTAACCTAACCTATCCTTCCTCTAACCTAACTTAACCTAACCTATCCTTCCTCTAACCTAACTTAACCTAACCTATCCTTCCTCTAACCTAACTTAACCTAACCTACTTGTAACCAAACCTAACCAAAAATATCCCCAACATAACCTAGATTAATATAACCTAACCTAACCAAACTAACCCTTAACAGACCCCCCTAACCTAACCTAACCTAACCAAAAATATCCCCAACATAACCTAGATTAATATAACCTAACCTAATCTACTCCTAACCAAACTAACCCTTAACAGACCCCCCTAACCTAACCCTAATACATCATAAACCTAACCAGAAGTAACCCCTTAACACAGCCTTAACTTGACCTCTGTAACCTAACATATCTAAACAGATGTGTGTATGTATGTATGTATGTATGTGTGTGTGTGTATACCAACAGGTGAGATAGGTGGTCCAGAGGGGTCAGGTATGCTCTGTGTGTACACCTTGAAGAATCCTACTTCACCTGAGCGCGTCTTCCGAGCCCCCTGTGGCGTCACCTGTGCCACCTTTCATCCTAAGGTAATCCGTAGTGGTAAGGTTAAATCAATAAAGGGAATCTGTGTTTATCTAAAAAAAAGGTCCGTAAAGTAATTCAAGGTGATCTAGTCTAGTTTGTAATGAGGTAATTCAAGGTAATCATTCCCTAACCTAACCTAACCTAATCTAAACTAACTCCTGATATGATTTAACTTAACCTAAACTGAGCTAACCTAACCTCTGATATGGCCTAACATAACCTAAAATGATCTAACCTAACACTTAAAATGACCAAATCTGACCTGACCTGACCTGACCTGACCTTACAGCACGGGAGCCTAGTAGCAGCGGGGTGGAGTGATGGCACTGTGGTCGTGTATGATATCCGATCCAACTCGTCACCTGTTGTCATCCCATCCACTACCACGGCAGGCAAGCATCTCCTCCCCGTCACCCAGGTACTGTACTGAGGTCTTCACGGTATGAGAGGGTGTGTGGTGGTACTGGTATTTATGAGTGAATGAGACTTTAAATTCTGCCCTGATTTTTAATGAGTGGTTTGGATATAAAAAAAATGATCTCTCTCTCTCTCTCTCTCTCTCTCTCTCTCTCTCTCTCTCTCTCAGGTATTTTCGAGTATATTACTGTATATGAATACCTTGTGTTGTGTCCTTACATCACAACACCAAATGATCAGAGGTGAACATGACAGTGTGTGTGTGTATGTGTGTGTGTGTGTGTGTGTGTGTGTGTACGAGTATTACACATATCATACCCTCAACAGGTGGTGTGGGTGAAGACAGAACCTGGTGAAGAGCTCTGTCTCTATTCAGTGGCTATGGACGGTCGCCTTACCCAGTGGCAGGTTAGGGCATCGGCTCTCGTTCACACCGATATTCTTCATTTTCTCGATGCTGATTTACCCTCACAGCACTTCACCACTGACAAAATCTTGCTCGAGGGTAAGTGCTGGGCTTGTGTCTTCACCAAAAAAATCAGACACGCGTTTCTATTGCCATGTAAACGGGTAATGAGATGTATTAGTTTATATCTTGTCGAATTTGAACTACAGTATTTACATTGATTCTGAACCTTTTACATTGAATCTGAACCTTTTACATTGAATCTGAACCTTTTACATTGAATCTGAACCTTTTACATTGAATCTGAACCTTTTACATTGAATCTGAACCTTTTACATTGAATCTGAACCTTTTACATTGAATCTGAACCTTTTACATTGAATCTGAACCTTTTACATTGAATCTGAACCTTTTACATTGAATCTGAACCTTTTACATTCATTTTTTAACCTTTTATGAATTTCGACCCCCCACTTCACTGACTAAGGTTCATTCCTCACTATTGAACAGGTATTGGGACGTGTGCAGCCTTCCGCCCAGATGACGGGGACGTGGTACTAGTGGGCGTGGACACAGGGGCCGTCTTCCAGTGCTCCACCCTCTCTACGGTACACGCCCTCACCCGCTACCCCGCCCATACTGCCGCGGTCAGGGCAGTCGTGTGGAATATCCATCATCACAAGGTGTTCATATCCTGTTCGGTAGATTGGACCGTCAAAGTCTGGTTTCAGTACCACCTGTAAGTACCGAGAAGTTGTCTAATGTTGATACCTTCTGTGGGTACTGAGTTCTCTTAACATTAATACCATCTGTGGGTATCGAGTTCTCTAAATTTGCTTTCAGTACCAGAACGAAATGGAAACCGGAAATAAAAATCACGTAATTGCTGTTTTTATTTGCACTCTTATTACAGTGTTACATTATATCCCTTGTATAGTGGTGGTGGAGGTGGACCTGTTAAGTGTTGCAGGTCGTCCCTCTTACCAGGTAGTATTTACAGGTCATCTCTCTTACCAGGTAGTGTCACAGGTCATCCCTCTCACTAGGTAGTATTTACAAGTCATCCCTCTCACCAAGTTGCATTTACAGGTCGCCTCTAGTGGTGCTGGACCTGGGTGGGGCAGTGGCCGGGGTGACGTGGTCTCCCTACAGCAGCAGTGTGTTCGTGGCAGTGTCAGACGAAGGACGTGTGCATGTGTACGATCTCTTCACCCGTAAATGTCGGCCCCTGTGTGTCCAGAGTCTGGTTCAGAGGCGACGTGTGGCTGCTACCTGTGTTTCCTTTAACCCCTTCCATCCCGTTATCATGGTTGGGGGTGAAAAGTGAGTTAATATCATGGTTTAGGGTGAGTTAATATCATAGTTTGGGATGAAAAGTGAGTTTATATCATGGTAAGGGTAGGTTATTGTCAACACAGGTCGATTAGGGTGTTGGTGGCAAGTGCATTTTAGGTCACCATTTTATGCCTGTTCTTCATTTTTTTCACACACACACACACACACACACACACACACACACACACACACACACACACACACCATAGGGATTAAAAAATAAACTAAAATACCTATCTCTCACTCTAGAGGTAACCTGGTGTGTCTCAAACTCTCGCCAAATCTGAGGAAAATCCACAAAGACGCAAAGGGTGCAGACGACATGAAACTGAAGGAGATTGAACTGTGCAAGATGGAGAGATTGATCGCTACCAACAGAGGGTAAACTTGTGTAGATATACCTGTATGTAGGGAATAAATTTGTGTTCATTAGATTAATAGGAGTAAACTTTTGTATACTAGATGTAGGAGTAAACTTTTGTATACTAGATGTAGGAGTAAACTTTGTGTACTGTACTAGATGTAGGAGTAAACTTTTGTGTACTAGATGTAGGAGTAAACTTTTGTATACTAGATATGATACAAATTAGATTTAAAAATAAACAATGTTTTTTATCCACGTGAAAATCATTCAACCTATTCAAGTCTACACGTCGCGTTATCTTTATGTATCATGTATCCATCTCTCGATTTACACACGGAAGTTACGTTCTTGAGAGTGGCCGTGTAAATCAAGTGGGTTGGGCATCTGCTAGTTCCAGGTATCAACACTCAACTGAGTAATGTTCTCTGAGGTGTTTATAGACTTATATTAAGTCACCTCTTGCCCACATATAGTATTAGCTGTAGGTAACTGCAAGCGTTTCAATCCCTCAGAGTGAATGAGGTGCCGGAGTGCAGGCACCAGTCTGGTAGCCTTCCTCTGGATATCTTAAATCAATTGACAGTTTCTAGAGGTCACAAGTCAGGGTTAAAGAAGCCACAGGTCCAGAAAATCGTAAGTGAAAACTTTTTCGAGTGAGAGTTGTAAACTCTTGGAACAATATACCAGAGAGTGTTGTGACAGCACCGAGTGTGAGCTCTTTCAAGATAGACTTTACCAACACTGGCGCATGTACAGATACATTCTGGAGCCAGTTCCATCCCAATACTGTACTTGCCAACAGTGTGTAACAAACGTAACCGACCGTCTGAGTGGCTAACAAGCCGATCCGCGACGAAAAGGCTCAAAGAAAAAGGTGTGTAACAGACAGACAGCCCATGTGGCTTACAGGCCGATGAGGGGTAAGGAGGATTGGGTATGGTACATACAAATTAGTGTCTGCCTCTTTATCAGGACGATAGCGAAAGAGGATCATCAACGACTTATATGTTTATATTTCGGATATCTATAATGTGTTTTATTTATTTTATATCTACAATCGCTACATCCTTTGGTATTATTTCCGAGGCAATAGCAGGAGCTAAAGCATTACGTCATAAAATCCCACTTTGATATATCGTAACGTTAAAAATACATTTTAAATAAAAATAATTAACATACTAGGTTATTATTTGAAAAAACTCTCACACTATATATTGATTTAATCCATAGGACATAAAAACAATGTTTTAGAAACCATACAAAGTTAATGACGTATTCATGACGTCACTATGTAACTCCCCCCAACAGTCGGGAAACATTAAATTACGGATTCGTCTCCTGCGCTACACGTGAGATTGTGTGAGGCGGCTGTTGGATGTTATTATTCGGGGAATTTATACAGTTGAACCTTCCCAGCACTTATTTAAACACCGGGGGACTTACTGAGTCACGTAAACTCCCATACTTTTTCCAGAACAACCATGGCGGTAAGTGTACAGCCCAAGCCGAGGTGGTGGTTGTATCCATTCTGTAATAACAAAATTGTTAGGTATGTAATTGCATATGGCTGTTATTATTAAACCACAGCGCCTGTCACCTAAACTATCAGTTGAGGGACCCTGAGACTAACTTGTATCAGGTGATCTTGTATTTAATGGACGTAAATTTAAGATGCCATTTTTGACACTTATCGAGACGGGGAACTTTCTCAAGTGTCATATACTACTACATTATTTACTGTATTTTATTGTTCTGAGAATGAACCAAATCAATCTGTTAAAATGAAATTTATCTAAACTTGAGCTTCACATAACCTATCCTAACTTAACCTAAAATAATATACTACAGTTATTTGCTATATGATTCACCTAAATATAATAAAATTCCTCTCTGTTAAAGTAACCATTTCTACAGTAGTTATGTCTCCTTTATTTCTGTCTGTATTTCGAAATAAGAAAACTTATTGTCCATGGAGAAATTTTCCCTAGTGGGAGCCGAGGCCAGACCACTCTCGTCAAGTATTACGATACCAACTGGGTAATTCTCGAATGCTAATGCTTTCTCTCACGTCCTCCAGAAACGTGTCAGCAGATTGAAGAATAAGGGTAAGAAAAAGGGACTCTCCGCGGCCAAGATCTCGAATATCCAAAAGTACAAACAAGCCAAGAAAGGAATCCTGACACCAGCCCAGAAGAAGAAGAAAGATGAAGACAAGAAAGCAAGAAAGCACGAGGCGTTCTGTAAGATACAGAAGGACAGGAAGAAGTTCAGAGAGCTTCAGGCGATATACGCAACGGACGAGGAGGCGTATCCTCTCACGGCGGAGATTACAGGTAGGTACAGCGATGACACGATCACCTGTGTGTGTGTGTGTAACCAAGGCATAGTTTAACTTGTATATGAACCTAACCCTTAAATGTGTGGTAGTTAGCCATAGGTAAAGAAGTTAGCCATAGGTAAAGAAGTTAGCCATAGGTAAAGAAGATAGCCATAGGTAAAGAAGTTAGCCATAGGTAAAGAAGTTAGCCATAGGTAAAGAAGTTAGCCATAGGTAAAGAAGTTAGCCATAGGTAAAGAAGTTAGCCATAGGTAAAGAAGTTAGCCATAAGTGAAGCCATGATCTTTATATCCTACGCTATGACTGAAGAGGATTTAGGAGGAACACTATAAGCTGTTTTAACTGATAACTTAAATGATATCCGGTGTTTTTCTCTGTTTTAACTGATAACTTAAATGATATCCGGTGTTTTTCTCTGTTTTAACTGATAACTTAAATGATATCCGGTGTTTTTCTCTGTTTTAACTGATAACTTAAATGATATCCAGTGTTTTTCTCTGTTTTAACTGATAACTTAAATGATATCTGGTGTTTTTCTCTGTTTTAACTGATAACTTAAATGATATCCAGTGTTTTTCTCTGTTTTAACTGATAACTTAAATGATATCCGGTGTTTTTCTCTGTTTTAACTGATAACTTAAATGCTATCCGGTGTTTTTCTCTGTTTTAACTGATTGTGTGACTCGCTTTATCGTTTAACAGGAGAGGAAATGATGAACATGATGGACCCAGACGACCTCACTTACCTGATAGAAACGTGAGTAGTACTGGTCTTAGTATTGTTTTTTTGTTATGCTGACAAAAAAAAAGATATGGTACAATTAGGTCAATCTGGCATACAGTATGTAATCGTTTCCTTACCTAGAACATAACTCATGTATGATATAAATAGCATAGAGGGGAATTTGCATAGTGTGGTCTCCCTATAGGTAATGTGATGTTAGGTAGGCTGTTGCTGGTTATGTGTAGGATGTTATGTACTCTCTAAGAAAACATTTCCTTCTCACACAGTATAGTACATGACCTGAATGACAGTGTTGTGCTGCCAGATAAATTTTATGTCCACGGGAGTTAAGGTTTACCCAAGGATGATGATATGAGGAACAGAATCCAAGTGATAAAATGGTTCATGGAGAAATTTGATTGTTAATTACTTGTACGTAGATGAGAAGTTTATCCCTTAAAGCATATCCTGTAGTGAGATAGTGTGTAATGGATAAAGTCATCAGTATTTCTTATTTTAGTGATTTTTTTTTTTACTTCATTCGTCAACAGTGAAGGTAAGAAGAAGAAGTATCAGGATTTGTTAGCTGCCGAGGAGGCGAAGGAGGCGGCCACCATAGCACACGAGAACGAGGACCGGAGCTTTGACAAAAATCCCCTGGCCAGCAACATGAGAAGTCTGCTCCCTATCAAGACTGACCAGGGCATTATCCCAAGATACATGGAAATAAAGGGTAAGTAAATGTGCAGGTTATAGAGTAATATATATAGTATTGTACTCCCCAGGTGAAGGTTTCGTACTGTTATGGCAAGACACGGGGTAATTTTAACTTTACCGTCAATACATTCTTTAAAAGGCGATAGAGAAGTGTCGCCAGTAGTCATTTATGTCATTTATTGGTAGCGTTCATAGACACACTGGGGGTTAAGTGAGGCTTGTGGAATAGAGGTCATGAGAGTTGACTGTGGGGTAACTCCAGGTCTGAGGGACTCCTAGGATTGCAGTCCCCTTTTAATGTTATTCTTTATTATGTCACAGTGAGTTAGTTGTGGGTTCTTCTGGCAACGTGACCAATAGAAGGGGTTCCGTGCTTATTAATCTGGTGTTGATCTATTATTATTCTCTCACCTTTACAGAGGAAACCGAGGAAGGTGACGAAGATGATCAGCAGCCGCCACCACCAACTGATGAAGAGTTGAAAAAACAGCAGACTAAGGATGAGCGAGATAAGAAAAAGTCGACCTTGGAGTTTTTGTTAGAGAGACACAGAAAGTTGGAGTTGATGAAGGTCAAGATTGGTTGTCTTTCAGCCAGCTTTATTGAGGAACCCCAAGAGAGAGTGAGTAGTGTCTCGTGTCGCTCATAGTTTATCTGTACTGTGCTTGTCTATCTCTGTCTTAACTTTGTGTATATAGTATTAACATCTGTCAATTTATATACGTGTTTACATACGTTAATTGTTTATTTAATGCTGACAGTCGTTTGTCAATATAATATGTATAATATGAACTGCTGCTTTTGACCATTGCCAAGGGAGGGATGGAATATAAGCCTAGGTCATCTGCCAGACCTTTCAATACATGACTCAAAGGTTAAAAATTTTGGTGTAGTTGATTAACCTCTCAAATTTGTGGTCATATTGAGGGTTTGAAGTTGGCATGATACTATAGGAACCTGTGTGAGTGTGCAACTAAATTTCATTGTCATGCCACTCTAAATATGTATAAAAATATAAGGGTTCAAAGTTGGCACATCACTAATTTTTTGGCTGAGCGACACAATATATATATAACTACTGTATACAGGTATATACTTACACAAAGGTTACTGTAACAGTGTTGTGTGAGCTTTGAATCACCACTCATGTAGTCTTTGTTGTCCTCACCCTTGTATTTCACCATTCTTAAAGGGTTGTATTCATTTTGTGTCTTCAGATATCAGCTCTCTCCAGTATACTGCACTGTATGAAAGGCTTAGATCCAGACATTGCCATCACCATCAAGAAGTACGCTGCTCTCAGTTTGCTGGAGGTGTTCCACTATATTATCCCATCATATAGCATCCACCATAATGATACTGACCAAAAATGTAAGTACAGTTCCTTTATATCTGCCTTTTATACTGTATTTGGAATATATCCTTAGTTAGAAGTTGATTATGGTTGGTGGTCTTCAGCTAGGGGTCTTATATTACACAGCAACTTACTTGGGTTCCTTAAGTATTTGAACAAGACTCCCCAACACCTATTACCCTTTGGTTCTCCCTGTATTGTCAGCCTTACCTGAGGAGAATATAATAAAATAGTTATCCCAAGTGGCTGAAGATCATGTTAAAATTGTCACCTACTTGTTTCACCAACTTAATAATTCTAACAATGGTTGAAACAGTTGCTGTAGAGTTCTCAATGATGGTTTGAAGTATCTTGGCAATGAAACAGCAGCCACTCAAAATTCTGTTCCTTTACAGTAAAGAAAGAGACGAGGAGGTTATACTTCTACGAAAACCAAATGTTGTCAGCTTACCAAGCCTACCTGAAGAGTCTGGAGGAAATGTTGCTGAAGGAAGAGAGAAAGAAGCGCAAGAACCCGGCTCTTAAGGTAATCTGAACGGACGTCATCTGCCGTACTCTCATCTATTACCAGCTAACTGTGGCCTTATGGTGTATTTAGTCACTATTTTTAAATGTGTTCTTGGTTTTTAGCCATTCTATAATATAATAGGAGACGGTTTGCTTGAGTGAAAGAGAAAAATATTTTGTCCGTTCTTATATTAAATACTTTGTTATTTAATTTTCAGCAAATGGCTATGGTGGCTCTGAAGTGCCTGGGTGAGCTGTTGATGAAACACAGCCACTTCAACTACACCGGCAACCTCATCCAAGCTCTTGTGCCGTACCTCAATCACTCGGATGACGATTTCTTTTCTCAGGCCACCTCTTACTTCACCAGGCTCTTTAAGGACGACAGAGAGGGCCGCATTTCTTTGGAAGTTAGTATTATTTTCTTTATATAAATATGTAAACTGTTACTTTGAGGTAATATTTTGATCGCGAGTGGGAAAAGATGGTTCCATTAACAGTAAATAAACCATCGTATCGTATTAGTTCCTTTTATGTATTTTTATCCCTTAATCACGTTTGTGTTATTTGTATTTCCTCTCATCGTTGTCATTATTTTGCAGCCAATTCCCATACTTACATTGCTTAGCTGTGATTACCTGATGGCAACTCTCTATACTGTACAGTGAGCCCCCTCCCCTCATCAGGTTCATCCCCTTGTCATTTTTTGGCACACCCGTGACTTTCCATCGTCCACATACAAACTCATGCATCTCTTGACCCAGTCGGTGTCCTCCATTCTTTCCACATTACTGAACTGAACCATCTTGACTTAGCTTAGTGCAAGACCTCACTGATACTGTGAACATACTTTCATGTTACCCATTTGTGTTTGCTATGGTAGAGAAGCAAGTTTGTGATGTCTCCGGAACCTAACACCTCAAAGTTTAACAACACTATCTTGCAGGTGGTGCAGCGGATAGATCAGTTCGTGCGCAGGAGAACCTTCAGAGTTCAGCCACAGGTGTTAAGGGTGTTGCTGGGGCTAAGGATCAAGAACGTCCAGAGTTTAGATGCTGAATTAGAGGCCGAGCTGACAGCCAAGAGGAAACTAACCCACAAGGAGAAATTGTTGAAAAAGCTTACTGAGAAAAACAAACAGAAGAAGTCTAATAAGGAAGCGAAGGTTAGATTTTTTTTTTTTTAACTTTTGGGAGGATTTACTATTGTTTTATTCTTGACCATAGTAATAGTGATAAGTAACAGCAATAATTGACTTTAGGGGGGATGAGAGAAGCATTTATTTCCCTACCACAATGTTACCTTGATAAGTGAGGAACCAAAGTGGACTCCTTAGCTTGATCTATTGAGTCATATGATAATCTACAGGTTGGAGTTATATTCAGATTGAGTTTAAAAAGGCGGTGGACGTAGAGTTATGATGGAATTGCAAATAATAATTAATAAACGTTTCATAGGAGTCCCGAAGTCCTTTTATGTGTGTACTCTGTGTCACTAGTTCGTTTTTAGTTGATTTTTCTAAGTCTTCAGAGCACTGTAGTCTTGTCAAGCACATTTAACCTCACATGGATTGGACACTTATCTTGTGTACCTGTATAATGTATCTGTACCACCACCACCGTCTCTCTCATCAGAGGTACCGAAAAAAGAGAAAGTTGGAGGAACAGGTGAAAGAGATAAAGAAAGAGAAGTCAAAGAAGGTGCGCAACACATATCACACCAGCATCATCCAGCTGGTTTTCGGTCTCTTCATCCACGTGCTGAAGCGGCGGCCAAATCAGAAGTTGATGGGAATTGTCTTGGAAGGTCTTGCCAAGTAAGTGATCATCTTGCTAATATATTTTTTTATCTCTCCTCATCACATGTTACCATAGTTACAGATGATGTAAAAGACTTTCTTCAATGACTTAGTTGTTTGTTACATGGTTCTTGGTAGGTAAATGTCATCTAAAGGATTACATATTTTTAGAGGGATCTGTGGTAACGTGAGACCTGTTGGGTAAGACAGTTTTTCCGAGGTATGAGCAGCCAGGATCAACTCTTGTTTTGGGAAGTTGTGTCTTTCTAACTTTTGGAGTTTTTATATTACCTTCTTCTCCCTCTTGTTTTACTTTACATTGGATGACAAGAGCTGCCTGGTGAGGGAATGGAGGATTAATTCTGGCATCCCTGTACTGTACCTGGCAGAGCCCATAGCCAGGTGGTTTGTGTGTGCTGTTCTACTTCCTCTGGCATTAACATCTAGTCTGGATTCATAGGAGGGAGATTTAATGTATTGGTGTAGTTGATGCTGATTGATTAGACACAAGCTGTAAGCAGACTTAACCTTCTCTCTATTCCCTTCCGAGGAGGGAGGGCAAATGCTGCACATTCCTCCTTTGAGATTGACTGTACACATGCAGAAGGAGGAAGAAGAGTTATCAGCTATAATAGATAGATTAACAGAGAGAGATATAATGGCCCCTTAGTAAGTCTTATCATTTATGGGAACCACTAACCAATGGGTAGTGTGTGAAAAATGGATTTCATGATCAATGGTAATTTTTTTTTCAACTTATATTCAATGCAGTACAGTACACCTTTATGCAGTTCTTATATAAACTTTAATTCATATCAATATTTTTTCAAAGATTCCCCTTAAATCTCTGGCAAGCTGGAAAAGGACAACTGTTTAGGTAGGTAGATAGTTTAGTAAATATCTGAACAATTTCTAAATGATTGTTTCCACCTTTTTGCAGATTTGCGCACTTGATCAACATAGAATTCTTTGCAGACTTACTCAACTGTATGAGTGAGATTATGGCTGAAGGCACCCTCAAGTTTCGGGAGTCTCTGCACTGTATCCAAGTGGTGTGCACCATCCTCTCAGGCCAAGGCGAAGTGCTCACCCTTGACCCCCATAGATTCTACAAATACTTATATGTCAACATGTTCAACTTAAGTTTAGGTTTGTAAAGTTTGTGTTATGTCTTTATAAGAGAAGACCTGTGAAATAGATCTCACCTTCAACAAGAAAAAGGTTCCTGGAGGATATGAATGTTGTGATTTAAGACCCAAAAGTTACAAGACCACTAAAGATCATGCCTCCACTTTGTGCCTGAGATAGTCTAGCTGCCATAATGAAACAGGAAACCTTGGTTATTCCAGATACAGTCGAGCTCTAACAGACTGCACCACATTTTTGTCACTGGTCATGAAAAAAGGATTTGGGGGTTGGTCCCCAGTTTTCATGGGTTAAATAATAGAAATAATAAAAAAGGCAGTTGTTGGGATGAGAAGTTTAAGAAAAACTCTTGGATGAGTTTATAACAAGATGGCATTCATCATCACCACCACTTACATCTACAGTAGAATGTAGCTATTAATGTCATAGAGTTGGGGAGAAATTACAAGAACTCATATGATTGCTGGAGGTGTATAGAGTTGATGTGCTGCACTAGAAAAGATAGCATAGAGACTTGTGTCATGGCTCAGAGGAGTTCTTAAAGGGATGAAACATTGGAGATAGTTGTAAACAAACTCACCGATATCATCGCATGTTATTTAGGAATAAAATAATAAATACTAATTGAGATTGTTACAATTATTTTACAGGCTTAAACCACAATGACATCTTATCTGCTGTGGAGTCCCTGAAGCAGATGTTGGTGGAGCGGCGTAAGCGTGTGAGTGCTGTGCGAGTCCAGGCCTTTGCTAAGAGGCTGGCCACCTTGAGCCTCACCCTCCTCCACAGTGGCACCATTGCCTCCCTCGCCACTCTTCGTAGTATAATCTTGGTAAGTGTTTTGATTGGGGAACTTGGGTTAGATATACCAGACTTGTGATCCATGCACTGGTAAACTCCAGCTGGTAGAACTCAGTAGAAGCTGTGGCTCTATATCCAGTGCAGGTAAAACTAGACAGAAATATTGGTAAAGTTAAAGTACTGTTACTGGGGAAGATGTACTTATGTAAAAATACAACTATTCCTTCAAAATCTATTTCATTAAAAATACAATGAAGCTTATCTGAAACTTGCTCAGTGAGAGTAATACTGTATTCCTGAAATATGATTATTGCTCATTGATGATTTTTTTTTAGGGTTAAGCTAGATGTTATAGGCAAGGTTACAAAGAAAGATATGTATAAAAAAAACTAAATTTAGCCCATGAGAGTAGTAGTACAGTATGTTAATTGTCTTCCAGCACCACCCAAGCACTGAAGCACTACTGGAGACAGACACAGAGGGAACCAGTGGCTTGTTTTCAGCAGAGATAGAAGAGCCAGAACACAGTAATGCTGCTGCCTCGTGCTTTTGGGAACTTCATTACCTTACAGTGAGTCTTGAGGAACGTAGATCACATTAAGGGGTTCTAGGTATCAATAATAATCTCAGTTTACATCTTCCTTCTCTCTTCTGTTGATATTTTACCCTAGACAAGGAATAAAAAAAAATGTAACTGAAAACTCCTCTCATTTTTATTTTTGGTGCAAGGTGTGAAGCTGTAGTTCCATGTCATTGTAGTTATTGGGTATTAGTTTACTTCCAATTCAGAGTTTTTGAGGTAAAGGTTAAAAAGGGAGTGATTAGTTGTTAAGAATGTCATGAGGGATGTTTAGTTGATTTGAGATATGATTTTCAGGGGGTGTTGGGCTGTCAGTGTGGACGGCCGGCATGAAAACTATGGAATGTAGATAGTTGAGATAATGCTTGTTTATTATTTTGAGAGAGGAGATTAATTACGATGAATTGATGATCCACGATTGTGCTCTTTTCAGCGACACTACCACAAAACTGTCCAGCAGATGTCGACCCACATATTGCTCGGGGCCCCTCTCCAAGGTGAAGGAACTTTACCTTACTCCCTCACTAAAAGGTATGAACGAGAGACTTGATTTGAGAGAAAATTGTACTTCATATTTGTAGACTAGAAGGTATTTGACAGGGTACCATGTGAAGTAGTATATATGCATGTGTAGTTGTAGTCAGTAGTTGGCATTGAGAAAGCAAGTAATTAAGGAGTACAGGTATGTTATTTGAATGTATATGAGGGAGAACTGCCATCTGCACAAGCATGGAAAATGGCCGTAAAATGACGATGGTGGTGGTGGAAATATAATTTATCTAATTTCAAAGCTAAGACATTGTTGATGAAATAACTGACCTTTATAATTTTCCTCCTCAAAAATTAGAAGGATATTATTTCATCTCTTTTTGTCAACAGACCGGCCGACGAACTTTTTGGGATGTACGACCCATCAGAAATGCGCTTCAATCCCACCATCCCAAATCCTAGCCAACACTTATCTGGCAAAGTTAACAAGACAAAAAAACTCACCAAGAGACACAAGGGTGAACAATGGATGACACATTACATGACACAAGAGACCCAGGACCTGTTAACAGTGGGTCTCTTGTCTGAAGACCCAGTTACTGTTAATGGGTCTCTCAGTAATAATATAAATGGACATTCTGAAGAAAATGATCAATCTTCTATGGCTAAATCACCTTCAATTACCAATCTAACAACTGCTAACTTTTTCACAGGAATGTTTTCTAATATGGATGTTGAAAAAATACCAAGTCAAATTATGACTGAAAGTCAATATGGTGAAGACTTCACACTTAGTCTTCTTAAAGTTGCATCTAAGACCTAACTGCATATATTAATAACATTTACAAATTGTTTTATTATCTTCATATTTTTAGGCTAAGTATTTTTAAATTATATAGAATATTTTGTTGACAAATTGTAACATTTATTTTGAAGGCAGTTCATGAAAATTCACATTAAGTGAAATAAACTGATACAAATTTTGTATGAATTCTTATCCTCAACAATTCTTGAGGTGATGGAGGCATTAGCTGGAAGAGGAGTAGACCTCAAGGAAACAGTGATGGGGAAGCCTGGCGGGGAGTGGAAGGTTCTGCTGCGAGTGTGGGATGTTAGGGTGATATAAGGTTCATCATGGGTAAATCAGGATATCGTATGACCTTATTATGGAAGAGGAGACAATCAGAGAATAGACCTGGAAAAGCTGGTAGAAAATAGTGAAGAACAAGGAATAAGATAAGGTCTGTGGTACTCTTGGTCCAAGCTACAGTACTGTACCTCGAGTCTGAGAGGGAAATAACGTGTAAGAACGGGAGGTAATAGTGTCTAATATCCCTCACGTTAATATAGTTACACTTTAACCTCCCTGTTTTTACCTCATCTCTACGTTACAAAATGTATTTCATTGGTTGTACTTGTAGCCACCTTATTATTAGGTAAGACAATGTAAACACCCAAAGGAGTTGTATCCTCATGACAGAACAGTTAATTTCTTCTGATACAAAGTCCTAAATATATTGTCAGGTAAAGTGATGGAAAATTGATCCTTTACCAGTTACTGTAATTATAAAAGGACTCCCCCCTCCCCCCCCCCAAGTACAGTACAGTTCTTGGTTGACTACATGTATGGCTACAGTCTGGTGTATCAGTGAGGTGTGTCGTAGCTTACACAAGTTGAGGAACGAGTAATGATAGACCTTGTGATCCCAGTTGGTGTTAATGTTAGTCTTCTCACAGTTAAAGCCATTGTTGACAGGTCAGATGATCTCACTAACAACTGTCAATTAGTGTCACACCATAACACGAGATTATTCTGACCTGACCTGACCGTACCGTACTCCTGCTCTTCTCCATGAACCCTGTATACTCATGCTGTGGAACGATATATATACAGTACAGTGTGTAGTGACGTTTTCAGGCCATTTTCCATACTTGTGAGGACAATCTGTTGCTACAATACCCGATGGCAGTCTCCCCATGCTGCAACTGTCTCTAAGGTCATTGAATCTAAGGTCATTTCTTACCTCTCTATGTCATGTACAAAAATTAATTCTCATTTTTTATTGTGGTTTATTATTATCTAGATTACTGTAGTGAGAAAGTAAGTTCTGATTTATCTATCTCCTTTTAATCAACTTTCATTTATCTCTTCAATCATCTATCCCTTTCATTCATCTTTCATTTATTTATCCATTCATTCATCTTTCAGTCATCCTTTCATTCATCTGTCATTTATCTCTTCATTCATCTGTCATTTATCTCTTCATTCATCTGTCATTTATCTCTTCATTCATCTGTCATTTATCTCTTCATTCATCTGTCATTTATCTCTTCATTCATCTGTCATTTATCTCTTCATTCATCTGTCATTTATCTCTTCATTCATCTGTCATTTATCTCTTCATTCATCTATCATTTATCTCTTCATTCATCTGTCATTTATCTCTTCATTCATCTGTCATTTATCTCTTCATTCATCTATCATTTATCTCTTCATTCATCTATCATTTATCTCTCCATTCATCTATCATTTATCTCTTCATTCATCTTCATTTATCTCTTCATTCATCTGTCATTTATCTCTTCATTCATCTGTCATTTATCTCTTCATTCATCTGTCATTTATCATTCTATCTCTTCATTCATCTATCATTTATCTCTTCATTCATCTATCATTTATCTCTTCATTCATCTATCATTTATCTCTTCATTCATCTGTCATTTATCTCTTCATTCATCTATCATTTATCTCTTCATTTATCTATCATTTATCTCTTCATTCATCTATCATTTATCTCTTCATTCATCTATCATTTATCTCTTCATTCATCTATCATTTATCTCTTCATTCATCTATCATTTATCTCTTCATTCATCTATCATTTATCTTCATTTATCTATCATTTATCTCTTCATTCATCTATCATTTATCTCTTCATTCATCTGTCATTTATCTCTTCATTCATCTATCATTTATCTCTTCATTCATCTATCATTTATCTCTTCATTTATCTATCATTTATCTCTTCATTCATCTATCATTTATCTCTTCATTCATCTATCATTTATCTCTTCATTCATCTATCATTTATCTCTTCATTCATCTATCATTTATCTCTTCATTCATCTGTCATTTATCTCTTCATTCATCTATCATTTATCTCTTCATTCATCTATCATTTATCTCTTCATTCATCTATCATTTATCTCTTCATTCATCTGTCATTTATCTCTTCATTCAGCTGTCATTTATCTCTTCATTCATCTATCATTTATCTCTTCATTCATCTGTCATTTATCTCTTCATTCATCTATCATTTATCTCTTCATTCATCTGTCATTTATCTCTTCATTCATCTATCATTTATCTCTTCATTCATCTATCATTTATCTCTTCATTCATCTATCATTTATCTCTTCATTCATCTATCATTTATCTCTTCATTCATCTATCATTTATCTCTTCATTCATCTGTCATTTATCTCTTCATTCATCTATCATTTATCTCTTCATTCATCTATCATTTATCTCTTCATTTATCTATCATTTATCTCTTCATTCATCTATCATTTATCTCTTCATTCATCTATCATTTATCTCTTCATTCATCTATCATTTATCTCTTCATTCATCTATCATTTATCTCTTCATTCATCTGTCATTTATCTCTTCATTCATCTGTCATTTATCTCTTCATTCATCTATCATTTATCTCTTCATTCATCTATCATTTATCTCTTCATTCATCTATCATTTATCTCTTCATTCATCTGTCATTTATCTCTTCATTCATCTGTCATTTATCTCTTCATTCATCTATCATTTATCTCTTCATTCATCTATCATTTATCTCTTCATTCATCTGTCATTTATCTCTTCATTCATCTATCATTTATCTCTTCATTCATCTATCATTTATCTCTTCATTCATCTGTCATTTATCTCTTCATTCATCTGTCATTTATCTCTTCATTCATCTATCATTTATCTCTTCATTCATCTGTCATTTATCTCTTCATTCATCTGTCATTTATCTCTTCATTCATCTATCATTTATCTCTTCATTCATCTGTCATTTATCTCTTCATTCATCTGTCATTTATCTCTTCATTCATCTGTCATTTATCTCTTCATTCATCTATCATTTATCTCTTCATTCATCTATCATTTATCTCTTCATTCATCTATCATTTATCTCTTCATTCATCTATCATTTATTTCTTCATTCATCTATCATTTATCTCTTCATTCATCTGTCATTTATCTCTTCATTCATCTGTCATTTATCTCTTCATTCATCTGTCATTTATCTCTTCATTCATCTATCATTTATCTCTTCATTCATCTGTCATTTATCTCTTCATTCATCTATCATTTATCTCTTCATTCATCTATCATTTATCTCTTCATTCATCTATCATTTATCTCTTCATTCATCTATCATTTATCTCTTCATTCATCTATCATTTATCTCTTCATTCATCTATCATTTATCTCTTCATTCATCTGTCATTTATCTCTTCATTCATCTGTCATTTATCTCTTCATTCATCTATCATTTATCTCTTCATTCATCTGTCATTTATCTCTTCATTCATCTATCATTTATCTCTTCATTCATCTATCATTTATCTCTTCATTCATCTCATTTATCTCTTCATTCATCTATCATTCATATCTCTTCATTCATCTGTCATTTATCTCTTCATTCATCTATCATTTATCTCTTCATTCATCTATCATTTATCTCTTCATTCATCTATCATTTATCTCTTCATTCATCTATCATTTATCTCTTCATTCATCTATCATTTATCTCTTCATTCGTCTGTCATTTATCTCTTCATTCATCTATCATTTATCTCTTCATTCATCTATCATTTATCTCTTCATTCATCTATCATTTATCTCTTCATTCATCTGTCATTTATCTCTTCATTCATCTATCATTTATCTCTTCATTCATCTGTCATTTATCTCTTCATTCATCTATCATTTATCTCTTCATTCATCTATCATTTATCTCTTCATTCATCTATCATTTATCTCTTCATTCATCTATCATTTATCTCTTCATTCATCTATCATTTATCTCTTCATTCATCTATCATTTATCTCTTCATTCATCTATCATTTATCTCTTCATTCATCTATCATTTATCTCTTCATTCATCTGTCATTTATCTCTTCATTCATGTCATTTATCTCTTCATTCATCTATCATTTATCTCTTCATTCATCTATCATTTATCTCTTCATTCATCTATCATTTATCTCTTCATTCATCTATCATTTATCTCTTCATTCATCTATCATTTATCTCTTCAATCATCTATCATTTATCTCTTCATTCATCTGTCATTTATCTCTTCATTCATCTATCATTTATCTCTTCATTCATCTATCATTTATCTCTTCATTCATCTATCATTTATCTCTTCATTCATCTATCATTTATCTCTTCAATCATCTATCATTTATCTCTTCATTCATCTATCATTTATCTCCTCCATTCATAAATTATGTTAATATTATCATGATTATTGTAACTAATATTTGTATATATTCTTACGTTATGGAGTAGATAGATTAATATAACTTACTTATAAAAGAAGCTATTGTACTAGTAAACTCAGCTATTGTACTAGTAAACTCAGCTATTGTACTAGTAAACTCAGCTATTGTACTAGTAAACTCAGCTATTGTACTAGTAAACTCAGCTATTGTACTAGTAAACTCAGCTATTGGACTAGTAAACTCAGCTATTGTACTAGTAAACTCAGCTATTGGACTAGTAAACTCAGCTATTGTACTAGTAAACTCAGCTATTGTACTAGTAAACTCAGCTATTGTACTAGTAAACTCAGCTATTGGACTAGTAAACTCAGCTATTGTACTAGTAAACTCAGCTATTGGACTAGTAAACTCAGCTATTGGACTAGTAAACTCAGCTATTGTACTAGTAAACTCAGCTATTGTACTAGTAAACTCAGCTATTGTAGGGTGAATTGCTATTTTTTGTATTATAATGTTTGGCCTAATCTTGAAACGTACGACTGGCAGCCCCGCTTATCAGAATAACAATAGCCTATCAGAGTAGCAGTTTCAATAGTCACTGATGCTTTACCAAAATACATTTTTATTTTTTACTTTAAGATCAGTTTCTTTATTCTATGTCTAAATCCAGGGAAATTATAGACAAGTAACGTTTAGAATAAAAAAAAAATATTATTTCTTCTGTACGATACTTTTTCCTGGCAACGTGAGGGATGATTGCTGAACCCTGAGAAAGAGTCTGTCTGTGTGTGAGAACGAAGACAATTTAGTAGTGGCTGACTGGCCGATGTGAAAGGAAGTGCATAGGATAATTTCTCACATATTTGAAAAACTAATCGTAAGTGAATAATTTTTATCAACCAAAAAAGATTCAGTGTTAAAGGAACCAAAATAAAGAAAATACTGGAACAATTTACATATTTAAATGAGAATATATTACGATGGATTATTTTGAAATTATACAGCGACTTAATAGCGTGTTGATAATAACTAATAACTTTATATGTGCATGATTTAAATATCCTTGTAGGGAATGTAAGTATTGGACACTTTTATACCGTTCAGGTTATTGTATTATTATTATTATTGTGTTGGCGTCTCATTAGTATTAAGTGACAGGAGAGATTGAGAAAGTGTGTAAAGAGAGAGAGAGAGGAGAGGAAGAAAGTGCTAGTGTTGTGTTATGGGTGTGGCGTAATAAGATGTTAAATTAATTCACTAAATATCTCTTAAATATACCCCCACACACCCACACACTCCCACACACACCCACACTCTCCCACACACACCCACACTCTCCCACACTCACACGCTATCACCCACACTACCCACTTCCCTATACCCGCACCACTATCATATGTCGTGACTCATGACTTATCTTAATGTAGTCTAATGTAACCCAATGTAGACTAACCTAACCTAGTACAACCAAACCTAACCTAACCTAACCTAGTACAACCAAGCCTAACCTAACCTAACCTAGTACAACCAAACCTAACCTAACCTAACCTAGTACAACCAAGCCTAACCTAATCTAACCTAACCCAATATAGACTGAACCAGCCTCTTCTTGTGCAACCTAACCTATCCTAACCTTAAACCTAACCTATCCTAACCTTAAACCTAACCTATCCTAACCTAACTAACCCTTAACTTACCGTAGTCTTAAAGGGACTCTGATCCTAACTACTATAGGTTTGATAAGGGGCCCATTACGACCTGATTTTTTTGTAGGACTGGGGGCCTAATAGAGATTACTTGGGGTCAATTAGTATTGGGGTCCACTTGGAGGACTAGGGTTAATAGGAGTGGGGGTCTCTTAGTACTAGGGCTGATTAGAAGTGGGGTCTATTAGGACTGGGGGCCTCTTAAACCTACACACACACACACACACACACACACACACCACACACACACACACACACACACACACACACACACACACACACACCACACACACACACACACACACACACACACACACACACACACACACACACACACCATTATCCCCACATGCAACACAACACTACACTACACCACCATCTTAAACGCTTCTCTCTGTCTTATTTTTTTGTTCACCTCTTGTCTCAACTCTCATTTCCTGTGCCAGACTCAAAGGTGGTGGTTTATGGTCTGTGTACACGGTCATGGTGAGGACAGACCGCTGGCTTGTGTTGCTGCGGCGTGTGTGTTGAGAGCCGCCCACAACACACACACACACACACACATACACACATATAGATACATACACAGACCCAAACACACACATACTCTGTTTTGCCGCCCACCTGTATCCCTTGGGGGGTGGGTTAGGTCTCGTGGGGTCTTGTAAGTCTAATTGGGTTCTCCAGTGTTGTCGAATCTAGTCTTAAGTTAAACTAATCTAACCCTCATACTCACCTCAACTCCAACACACTCCAACACACTCCAACGGTCATATGCCACCACAGAACGCCCATCACACACACACACACACACACACACACACACACACACACACACACACACACACACACACACACACACACACACACACCTACACACACACACACACACACACACACATCCTTTTACTATAACAAAAACAACTTCTTCTTTGGTTCTGTTAATTCTCTTTTGTCTCTATTGTTACTTATTTTGCCTTATTCTCCATCTTTACTCTCTTCTCTTATTCCTTTCGCCTCTTTACCTGCCTCCTCCTCCCTACACCTCCCCACACCTCCCTCCCTCCCTACACCCTCCCTACACCCCCCTCTGCCTCCCACACCTCCCACCCCCCTCCCCCACCTCCCTCCCTACACCTCCCCCCACCTCCCTCCCCTCCCTCCCCACACCTTCCTCCCTACGCCTCCCTACACCTCCCTCCCTACACCTCGTATCTTCCAGTATGTGTATACAAAGCCAGGGTGATTATGGAAGGGGAGATGGGATAGGAGGAGATAGAAGAGAGACAGATGAGAGGGAAGGGAGAATATAGGAGGGGAAGAGATTGAGTACATGGCAGCGGTCGCAGTACCGGGTGAACGTAAGGCCAAGCACTCGTCACTGATGCAGCTTAGGGATAATTTTTGCTCTTCTCTTCCTCCTCCTTCCTTCCTTCCTTCCTTCCTTCCTTCCTCTTCTTCTCCTCTTCCCTCTATCCTCTCCCTCCTCTCCCTCCTCCTCCCCTCCCCCTACCCTTATCATATTCACCATGAGTCAAGTTTCTTTTATTTTCGTAAGTATTGAGTTACTGATTTCCGGGACACACACACACACACACACACACACACACACACACAGACACACACACACACACACACACACACACACACACACACACACACACACACACACACACACACACACACACACACACACACACACACACACACAGATGATAAGATAAAAATAGAAAGATAGATAAAAGATATGTAAAGAATGACAGACAGACAGAGGGCACAGCAGGGGTATATTAATGAACGGAAGTGGAAACCCTGCCCGCGGGGAGGGAGGAGGGGTGTTGGTGCCCTGGGGAGATAGTGGGGAGGAGGGGGTGTTGGTGCCCCTGGGGAGGGAGGAGGGGGAGAGGAGACATTACCCGCTCTGCCCAACGGCTTGTTAGAGAGAGAGAGAGAGAAGATGATAAACAGACAGACAGAGAGGTAGACAGTAAATGAGACAGTATAATGCAAGTTAATCACTGTAGGGTCTGTGGTCTAGTGCCTCTTCTTCCTCCACCCCTTAATCTTCCCCCTCTACCCCTCCTCCTTCATTCTCTTGCTCCTCCTCTAACCCTCCTTCATCCTCCTCTACCTCATTCCCTCATCCTCCTCCCCCTGTTCTTCTTCTACCCTTCCTCTTCTTCCTCTACCCCTCCTCCTCCTCCTCCCCCTCTTCTTCCTCTACCCCCTCCTCCTCCCCCCTCTTCTTCTCTACCCCTCCTCCTCCCCCTCTTCTTCCTCTATCCTCCTCCTCCTTCACTGCATTATTACCCAACATAAAACCGACTCTATTATTTCCCTGGAATTCTTAAGCTACTGTATATAAGAGTGTTCACTGTGGTAGTAGTCTCAGTAGAAGGTGTGACGGGGACGGGGGTGTAGTGAACTCCCTCCCAGGTAGGTACTGTTGTTGAGTAAGGAAGCTGGTCACTAGAGAAGCATTCTGGCGTTGCTAGGAGGCGGGTGCTAGTAGAAGGATTTTAACGGTACTAGGAAGGAGAAGGATTGTCCCAGCACTGCTATA